TATGCACAAAGTAAATATAATTCAGTTATTGAGGGGCAGGGAGATACACCTAGCTAATAGAGTCAGGAAAGGCCTAATATAGTATGTGACCCATGAGGAGAGCTTTCCTAAATGGTTGGAATTCTAAGAGGTGAAGCAGAGGTGGAACTACATTCCAGCATGGAGAGATAGCATGTACAAAGCCCCCCAAAAAAGGAGATGGAATGTCACATCACAGGACTGGTTCATGAAAGGGACTGATGTGCAATAAGTCTGGAATGGGAGGCTGGAGTCAGGTTGTGAAGAGATTAAAGTAGTAAATAGAAGAGGTTCTTTTTTAATCTTAGAGGCATTAGGGAGCCACTGGACCCTTTTGAACAAGAAAGTGATGAAGTAAGTCCTGTGCTTTAGGAAAATCATCTTAGCAACTGGTGAAGGATGGATTGGACTACAGATAGATGGGTTTTGAGGCAAGGAGACCAGTTAGAACCATTTCTCTCTACCGTGGTAAATTTTACTCATTTTTTTTATAAGCATTGGTACAGTAACTTCTTCAGGTGTTCATACTCTCTGTCTCTCTCTCTCTCTCTCTCTCTCTCTCTCTCTCTCTCTCTCTCTTGAGAGAGAGAGAGAGAGAGAGAGAAGGATTTTTAAAAAGTTTTATTGAAAGAGGTTATTTCATTTTTATTAGTTTCAAAAATTACCTGGGGAATACAAATACTGTACCTGGTAAACAGATATCATGGATTCTCTGGAGGGTGGATGTTGTTAAGTGTAAGGGTTGAATCTCTACAACTTATGCCCAACTAAAGCAGTAACTTACCTCCTCTTGGCTAATCCATCCCTTTCCCTAAACCTAGGTTTGAAACTATGGCCATTCATTTGCAAACTGTATAACTAGGACAAATTAGTTTTCTGAGCCTCATTTCCCTCATTTGTAAACTGAGCTCAGAGTTTCAGGGGAATCAGACACTTGGCATGCACTCCCATGTGTGACCTGACCCAGATTAAAATAGAATTGGGCAATATTTGCAAAAGAAATAAAATGCAGTAAGGTAGAGATGACAACACATTTAAAAATTAATATGTGGTTTGTTGGGATCCTTATGTATGATTTAGTGGCCCCCCATTTCTATTTAAGTTTGACATCACTAGAGTAGATGATCTCTAACTTTTCCTCCAGTTTTAAATCTTACAAACTCATGAACCTGAGATTATACCTTTTGCTAGGAACTGTGGTTTCTCTGTGGTTACCAGGGAAATGCCTGGGAAGAAGCGGGCTTGGTACTGTCAAGTGTATTTCAGGCATGGTTTTGTGAGTCCCTTGGGGGGATGGAGTCACAGGCAGGTATCAGAGTTACCTTTGCCTCAAGCTGCCTGTGTTCAAAATGTGGGCTTTGAGACTTAGGTAACTATTGGTGGCATTCAAAGATAATATTTATGTAATGTTTAATTAGAAACAGTAATGACTAAACAGTTATTCAGTTGTGTGGTGCTATAAATGTCAGGAAAATGGCAGAGATCTTATTTTACTGATGTGTAAGGATACCAGATTTGTAGCTATGTACATATCTATGTGTGTACATACATACATACACATATATATGTGTGTATGTGTACACATATGTGCATATACACACATAACCTTAGTCTTAGAAATGTATGACTTTTATAGTTAATTATAGAAATCTATTTTGTATGACAAGATTCAATAAGAATGAGAAGAAATATGAGAAGGATATAGCTGCAGCTGCAAATTTATAATTAATAATAGCCTGCATTTATATAACATTATAAGGCTTGTTAAGCACTTTGTATATGCCATGTCATTTATTCCTTACAACATCACTGTGAGGAAAGAGATGTTACTGTCACAATTTTACCAGATGAGGAAAGGGAAGCAGAGAGTAGTTAAGTGACTTAGCTATGGACATAGAAATAATAAAGCACCTATAGTTTGATTGAACTCTTTTTGTCTCCAAATCTAACACTACCCTTGTACCAACAAGCTGCCCAAGTGAATGAAGAGAGCTAAATCTTAGATATCACTGAAATGTGTTCTTGGCTATGGAAAAGAGCCTCTGATATGAGTTTTGTTTTTCCATAGACCAACACACCCAAGATAAGTGAAGGGATCATTTTGCAAATGATACTACTAAACTCCTCTTCTTTGGGATATTATATTTGATTCAGAGGGATTTTTATTTTTATTTAAATTTATTTATTAAATTAAATTTTAAAAATATTTTAATTTATGATGAAGTTTAATTACTTGAAGTCAGTCTGGGCAGATGACTAAAGGAGAAAGTGACAGTGGGTTTTTGTTCATAGACACGCATTTTTCCAATGAATGAAACTGGTTTGGCTGGCACACCTTGATTCCTTAATGCTAATGCCTTCTCACTGAGATTGCTTTTCATTCTCCCCTGTATATATCATGTATGTACATAGTTGTTTGCATTTTATCTCCCTCTAGATTGTGAGCTCTTCAAGGGCAGGGACAATGGTTGTGTATTTGTTTGATCTTTTCTTTGTATCCTCAGCATTTAGCATAGTGCCTGTAACACAGTAAATACTTAAATGCTTGTTGACTGACTATAGATGAATTTTTCCTTGATAGAGTTTCCATACCATATTGCTGTAGCCTACTAAGCAGTTTTTAAGATGAAACACAATGCCCATTCTTTCTTGCCTCCACACAAATATTCTTATATTTAATGCAATATAATTACATGTAGTTAATGTAATGTAATTACATGTAATATAATTATTAGGCTTATTCACTATTTTTATTATTATTATTATTATTATTATTATTATTATTAACTAGCATTTATGACAGTTTTAAGATTTTTGAAGTGCTTTACTTACGTTATCTCATTTGATCAGTACAAGGTTCATGGCACATGGTAAACACTACATAAATGCTTGTTCATTGACTGACTGCTGCTACTTGCTCCCCCCTGAACCACACAGACCAAGTTTTTAGGTGCCTAGGAGTTGGGAGTAGGATGGGAATCAAAAATGAAATAGTAAGAATTGGGACCTGACTTGCACAAAGAATAATGGTCTGCTGATGATTTTATCTCTGGTTTTTGTTCCAATTCTTATGCTTATCTCACTGTCCCTATCACAATCTTCTTTTCTAATTTTCTCATCCCTCTACATCTGCGATGAACTCAAGTGCTGAGGACAGAAGGGGATTCTTCCAGAAAACTGTCCAGGCCTTTAGCAGAGTAGAGAGACTGAGCCTGCGTCCCTACTCTAGAAAAAAATAAAATAAAAGTTAGTTGTCAATATATTCTGCCTTTTATCTGTCTCCTTCCTTCCTTCCTTCCTTCCTTCCTTCCTTCCTTCCTTCCTTCCTTCCTTCCTTCCTTCCTTCCTTCCTTCCTTCCTTCCTTCCTTCCTTCCTTCCCTCCTTCCCCTGCTTTGCCTTTCTCTTACTGTCTTTCCTTGTGTTTCCTTCCTCCCGTTTCCCCTCCCATTCCTTCTTTCTTGTGTGTTGGCCATCATTTTTCACTCATTTACTTGTTTATGTAGGTTAAAGAAAAGAACTTCCAAGGTGACAAGGTCTAAATTCAACAGACTCTTCACTTTAGCATAAATGTTTCTTCCCTTCCTGACATACTATATATAGAAGGGATAGCTACATAGAGTTGATCAAAGGAAAAGGAGCAAATGCAGATTCCCATGAACATTATGTTAAACTCCGCCATACAATCTTAGCCAACCATGCTATTATGTCTTTTGACCAATGTATAATCAGACTGAGTTGCTTAACATGTTAGATATTATGGAGTTGTGCAAATAGCAGGATCTTCAGTCTCTAAGAGCTTATGTTTTGAAATGTTTCCTTACAGGTGGAATAATAGTGGATATAATTCTAGACTTAAAGGGCAGAAAGACTTGAATTATAATTCTGCCTCAGTGATTTTTTAGTTGTGTATCCATTGCCATGTCATTTAAGCTCTCTCCACCTCTGTTTTCTCATCTGTAAAATCATGTAATAATGTAGCAATGTAATAAAAATGTAATAATAGCCCCAAACCTTAAAGAGTTGTTTTGAGGATCAAATGACATTACAAATGCAAAATGTCTTCTGAAACTTATGTACTATACATTAGCTACTAGTGTTATTGTTATCATTACTCAGAGATATATACTATTTATATTGGGAAAGCCTTTTGACCAAACACATTTTTTAAATTTTTCTTTTAAAACAAATTTTGTTGTTTAAATAAATTATTTTTATAAGGAAATGTTCTTTTGTAAAAATAATTTCATAAGTCATTTTTTAAAAAGTCATTTAAAATGTATTTCTTAAGTGTCTCATGATCACAAGACACTGTTGGGTTCAAGGATGAGAGAAAAGTAATACAGAGTTGAATAAGACATGCTTTCTGACCTTAAGAAATTTAAAATTATTTAAGGGAGAAAGGTAGGTACACATCCATATTACAATGTGGAAGATATAAAGTACATAAGAGAGGTTAAATAAGGGTTCATAAAAGACGACAACATTTGATTAGACTGGGAAATAACTAAAAAGAGTTTACCTTTTTGCTTTTACCTCCATAATGAAAACTATTAAAATTCGGAACATCTTATCTTATTTTAAAGTCAGTTATATCACCCAATTTTCTTTAGCTAATATTCTTCCTTCATATTGAAAGTCAAGCAAATGGAAGAATGTCAGAACTTCTTTCCCATTTGTAATCATCCTCTTAGCATATATCATTTCGGAAATGATCAGTGTTCTTTATTTTTTTTAAGTTGCACCATCTCTCTGGATTATTAAACATTTTAATGAGAAATGTAATGAAAATTGCTCATCCTTTGTATACTTTCTGCATATCCCTGCTTTGTCCAGCCTACTTTTATGTTTTTATGTTGTGGAGAGAAATCTCAACACATTTACTGATGCAATGAAACTTTCAAGCAAATAATAATCAGTAGGTTTGGAACAGTTTTCCTGTTCTGAATAGTCTTTTACAATCAACGCCTCTCTCCTTTTTCAGGATATCGAATCCCTGGCTGGTTCTAAGGGGGCCGATCCACCGGTAAGTGCAACTTTCTATCCAACACATTAGTCTTAATTACTACTGAGTGAAACGATGTGTACCACAGCCTTTCAGATATGATAATTAGTTGCATTCCATTTGCCATGGATATGTGATTTTGACGGGTGATATAATTGTGAAGAAGGAAAGAACTAGAAACAACTTTGAGATTAAATTTTAGTCTTCTAAAATGGCAGTCTTTCAAAGTTGAGATTTATTTCCATTTCTAGTTTGTGTTACTTAAATAACACTAAAAAAAACCTTTTCATCACACATGGAAATATTGTCATGTCTTTGGAATGAATAAAATGTGGTTTTCTCTTCAGTCTAATATGATGCAATAAGGTTGGGAGATTGTTGCTCCAGAAATGAATGGAACAGATCTCAGTTGAGATGAGTTTTATGGATACCTGGAAGTGATATAGTATCAACAATGGTGTGGCTTGTTTTTTATTTATAAACTTTGGGAAGCTTCTAGAAAATGGCAGAACTTGTTTCAAATTAGATCTCTTAATGCCTTTAAGTTAATGGTCCAGCACATTTTAGTTTCCTCAGTGGTCATGTCTACTTTCAGAGAACATTTATTAAGGCAATGCAACATGGAAAAAATTCTTTCAAATGATCCTTTGTGACAAAGTTAGAAGGATAAAACTGACTACAAGATGCACACGTGTTATAATGTGATTGTATCTGCGAGCCATATTACATAAAGAACTGCTAGGGCAATCTTGTAATTTTACAGTCATCACTCATATATACCAAGATCTCAAGCTTCTATCTATCTGGAGTGCTATTCTTTTTACAAGTTCCTCCAAGATGTTCCAGAATACCATTCCAAAGAGGGGAGGGTAAATGGATTTTCCACTTTGGTTTTCTTTCCATATTTGATTTGATTTATGTGGGAAGTATTTTGCTTGCTAATTTTTGATGTAGGCAAATACTTTTGTTGATTTTCTCAGACTTGATCAATCAACAATGCTAGCAGATGATCCTGGGAAATGCATGTGAGGCTACTAAGACCATTGAGGGCCACATATTTTCCTAGATCATTGATTGAAAATATTTATTATATAGTTATATCCAAGGGCAACTTAACTAAGAGATATAATTGGTGGCTTTCAGTATGGTGTGATTTCAAGGCCACCAATCAAAGCTTTTTGACCCAGAGAATATCTCCACCACATGGTTGATGGGAATTTACTAAATGCTTACTGTATGTCATGCATTATGTTAAGCATTGGGAATATGAAGGAAGGTCAAAATACTGTCCCTGCCCGAAAGAGTTCACATTTTAAAAGGAAATATAAACATAAAAATAACTAGGTACATATAAGGTGTATAAAGAGTAGATAGCACGTAATCTGAAAGGGTAAGGCATTAATAGTTGGTTGGGGGTAGGAACTTGGAAAGTCCTCCTGGAGCATTTGGGTGTAGAGCTGAGTCTTGAAGGAAACCAGGTAAACTGAGAATCATGGGTAAGAGGGAGAGTATCCCTAGAACAAGTGATAGCCAGTGCAAAGAGAAACAGGAGATTAGGTGTCATCTCCTGGAACAACAAGCAGTCTAGAGGGGTTAGTACTACCTGGAGGTGAAAGAAGGCTGGAAAGGAAGGCAGGGCACTGGTTGTAAAGAGCTTTATGTATCAGAGGACTTTGATCTTGGAGTAGTACCCTGGAATTTAATAAGTAGGAGCATGACAAGGTAAGAAAATCATTTCAGCAGCTGAATGTAGGATGGATTGGAGTGGGAATGGACATGACACAGAGCAATTAGAAGGCTGTTGCAATACTTCACAAAGGTGGTGATGAGGACCTGAACTAGCTTGGTGTCTATATGAACAGAGAGAAGGGGGCATTTATGAGAGATTTGTCAACGTAGAAATGCCAAGATTTGACAATGGATTGGATTTATGGGCTGAGCTAGAAGCAGGAATTAAAGATGACACCAAGATTGAGAGAGTCTCTGTGACTGTGAGCATGATGGTGTCCTTACTGGCTATAGGAAAATTGGAAAGAGAGAACGTTCAGGGGGAGAATGATGCTGAGTTTGGTTTTGGACTTGGTGAATTTTGGATACCTAGAGGACATCCAACTGTAAAAGTGTATAAGGCAAGTGACGATGTGTGGGACACTAGTTGGGGAGAAAAGCAAGGATTGGATAGGTAGATCTGGGAATTACGTTGATGGGGATAATCATTAAAAACATGAAAATAGATGAGGTCTACAAGAGAGAATGAAAAATGAAGAGGACCAGGATAGAGTAGGAAGATAGTCACAGTTAGTAGGGGTGACGTATATGAAGATCCAGAGAATAGATGGACAAACTGTCAGGTATGGAGGAGGAGAAAAAGGAGAGAGCTGTACCATGAAAACCCTGAGGGCAGGAAATAACCAGAAGAAGGAGGTGATCAATAGTATCAAATGCTAAAGAGATGGGAAAAAATGATTAGCATTGATTTATTGAATTTAAGCATTGAGAGATCATTGATGACTTTGTACAGTTCAATGACAAGATCAGAGGCAAGATTACAGAGGTTTAAGAAGACAGAAGAGGTTGACTGTTATGATACACACCCGTTGTTCCTGCTACTGAAGGAGGCTGAGGCAGGCAGGTCATTAAATCTTTGGAGTTTGAGCTGCAAGTGACTAAAGCCAACTTAGGATCCACACTAAAAGCAGTGTGGTGGCCTCCAAGAAGGGCACACTGACCCAGATTGGAAACAGAGCAGGTTAAAGCTCTTGTGACAATTAGCAATTGGGCAGGACCCATGACTTGGGTGTACTTGGAGGGAGAGAGGGAAAATAAATGGAGATGGATAGGTTCCAGGACTTTAGTTGAAAATTAGAGATTCATTTTTTTAATTTATCCCTGGAAAAAGGTGAAACATTAAACTTTCTAAATTTTCCTTTTACAATTTCATACGGTGTCTTAAGTGGAAGTAAGTTGAGTATAAATCCTGGAATGTATTCAATCTTTGTATGGATGAACTACTTTATGTTCAATTGGAATGGTGTATATACTTATCATTTACATGTTGCCTCCCCCCAATAGGATGTAAACTTATTGATAGTAGCTACTGTTCCTTTTTTGTCTTTGCGTCCTCAGCAGTAAGTACATTCCCTGTCATATGGTTAGTGCTTAATAAATGCAATTTGATTGATCAATTTGGCAAATATTAACTCAGTATTTATTGCATGCAGTCCCTTGTGCCCCCTCTAGATCTTTACCTTCATGTCTCCTTCTTCTTTTTCCACCCACCTCCACCATTAAAGTCTTTTCTCTGAAAAAAAAATATAATGAACTAATTTACATTATGATTGATAGCATTATAAATTATATATATTTATTGTTAATTATATATGCATATAATTATAATTTACAATAAGGTAAAAATAATAAAAGTTAACATGGAGAGCACACCTAATACTTACCAAATATTTGCTGAAGGAAGTCCTATAGATTCTGCAGATCTTTCAATTCAGTAAGGACTTATAAAGTGCCTATTATGTGCTGGGCACCAGGGACACAGAAAAAGGAGTCTATATCCTTAAAGAATTTGGCCCTTCATCCTTGGACTGCAATGGAGCTACTTTGGTAAGAGAAAAATGCTTTATATTTATCCTGTCTGCTCTGAACTTTTAAAGTGTTCTTTTAGAACTAAATGGTTTCATTCAATTTCTGTCCTATGCTCCCTACTTCTTTTAACTATGGAGTTTGATATGAGGTTTCAAGAGACCTTCTGTCTCTCCAAAGAAAGTACCTTCCATTGAAAATAAAAACAGAAATTGTTATTAAATGATACATGAATGCAATCAATGTGAAGGTATTACATTTTGTTCCTTGTCTTTAAGAACATTTTTCTGCTAGATTAGCCATTCATTTTTTTTTCAGGTCTGAGATCCTTGGTCTTCATGGCAGTGTTAAAGCCCACTACCCAAAGCACTTGATTATGGCATTTTAATCAGAATGAAATTCAAGGTCCTGTAATTATACATTCATTGACCAGAGCACATAAAAGTCCTGAATTCTGAATAGACTCTTGTGAAGATGCATAGTCATGGAACAGTTCCTCTACCAAGATAATGGGAATCTATTTAAATAGACATGTTTAAGTGACTAAGGTATAAATGAAATTGCAGATTTTACTGCAGGAGTACCCAAATGGTTCCTTGGGAGCCACAGTAGAAAAGAAAAGGAGGGGAAGCTTAGGTGGCACAGTGGATAGAGCACCGGCCTTGGAATCAGGAGGACCCAAGTTCAAATTTGACCTCAGATCAAACACTTGACATTTACTAGCTGTGTGACCCTAGGTAAGTCACTTAACCCCATTTACCTAAAAAAAAAAATTCAAAAAAAATAGAAAAGAAAAAGAATTGTAAGAACCAAGTTCTCATCATTTGAAATTATAAAATGCATGCAGTTGCTTTTTAATTTGGAAATTTCAGTGGAAAATGACTTTCATTCCTCCGTTGTAAATGTAGTTCCTACTAGTGAATTCTGAATGACTCCTGGATTTGTTTCTGTGACTTACACTGAGGTTAGGGGCTTTAAGATGGTTTTTTCACCTTTTTTAAATAAAAGATCTATTCCTATTTGAGGTTCAGTGGCATAAGTGAGACATAAATGAAAAAGAATTTTATCTATGATATTAAGCAAAAATTAAAACAATTTAAATATTTAAATACATGAAATGAAGAAGAAAACAATTTCTTGGTTGTAACTAGAAATTTGTAAGGGCAGTGAATGAAAATGAAAGATTTTCTGGACTGTGTTAAGACACTCTAACTTTTTGGTGATCATGGGGGTGGGAGAACACCTAAAGAAAAAGTATTCTCATGTACTTTAAAGTTTTTTTTCTTTAAAAAAACACTATGGATTTTTTTCATTCCTTTCATTCATGAAGCTTGAACAAAAGGATAACATCAGTTCTGTGTGCCATTGGCATTCATGTCTTGTTAACGTCTCAGAGGGAGGTACTAAGCATTTTTTGTGGACTCCTG